TTTTATATAATATTTATAAAATAGATTAAATGTTATAGCTGTTGATACACTTTAACAACCATATTTATATATTTTAAAAGCTTTAAAAAAAATATTTATTCTAGCTTCGTATTATAAGTTATTTATAATTCCAATCCAATAATTATAATAAGTTTAAGTGCGTTGCGTAGAATATAAATCATGTTTAATTTTTTTTTTTTTTTAAATAAGTTATACCAAAGCAACAAAAACCTAATCCTAAAAATTAACACTTTAAAAATTTATTGAATAATCATAATGAAAATAAAGATTTGATTTGTAAAAAGTTACATGGAAAAAATATGTTTATCTTCTTACTGTATGAAAAATAAAATGATTTTAAAAAAATAGCATATTTTAAAAAACGATATTAATATTATTTCTAAGGTTAATAAGGATTAGGGCTGCCTTATTGTGGACGCATAGATGTTCCAATTTTCAAAGAAAAATCGTGGTTTTATATATTGCATCATTTAATCATTGCTAAAAATTTAAGATAATCCATTCCTTTTTTTATATTTGCAGGCAATAAAAGGCAGTCATCTGACCAGTTTTTGTATGTTTGCTCAGGGCTAAAGAATCGTTTTTTTATGGAGGTCCGAGATGGTCCAAATTGTTTTCTCGAGAGCACTGGCCAGAAAAACATTTTTTAAAGTTAGGCCTAGTCCGCTTAATTCTAATAAAAAAAACATAAACAATATATCAAATGGGAGTGGCAGGGCATATCCAGGGGCATGTCCGACCATTTTAATTAAAGTTTCAAGATAAACCAGGTCCGTGAAGTTGGCCCCACAATTATTAATTTTCAATGGTTTATCAGTTGGTATGATTTGTACCATATTTGTACCTTTTGTACCGTTTTCAGTTTGATTTGTATCATCACCGTTTTTGAGATATTCAAAGAACAAAATGGGGGGCCAACTTCACGACAGCCCCCCAACTTTTGAGCTTAAAAATAAAAAGTGCATAGATCGATAGAGAATGATTTGTACCGTTTTCAGTTCGATATGTACCATCACCGTTTCCCAGCTATTGACCGTTAAAGATATGGCGCCAAAAATAAAAAACACTAAAAATTTATTTTTTTAAAAATATTTTTTTAACGTACAACGGTAGAGAATTTTTTTTCTTCCTAATGATGCCTCAAAATAAGCTTTATCTTCATTATTTATTTCGGAAATTAAATTTTAAACCTTATATTATAGCGTGAAGTTAGCCCCCCCCCCCGATATTCAAAATATGAGATTTTTCAAATTTTTAAAACGGGATTGATTTGTACCGTTTCAAACTAGATTTGTACTATTACCGTTTTCCAGCTATTGACCGTTAAAGATATGGCGCCAAAAATAAAAAACATTCAAAAAAATTTTTTTTAATTTTTTAAAGTACAACGTTCTTAATGATGCCTCAAAATAAGCTTTATCTTCATTATTTATTTCGGAAATCAAATTTTAAACCATATATTATAGCGTGAAGTTAGCCCCCCCCCCCTCGATATTCAAAATTTGAGATTTTTTAAATTTTTAAAACGGGATTGATTTGTACCCCGTTACAAACTCGATTTGTACTATAAATAATAAATCGAAAGTCAAAGGCATTTCATTTATAAATGATAATATTTTATATAGATGTATAAAAGAACTTTAAAAATAAAATCAATTATCTGAATATATTATATACATTTATAAAAAACATATTTTTAGCAGTTATATTGGTAAAAATGTAACTAGTTACAGTTACTTTAGAATTTTTAAAATATAACTAGTTACAGTTATTTATTAAACTAGTTACCTTAATAACACTAAAAAACTATAGGAGAGATCGGGAATATAATGCCCCCGGGGTTATAGTGGTGGCTTTATTTTCTAGATTACATGAATCTAAGGGATATTTTTTTTACTTAAACTATATAATTATATAATGCTTATACGGCCTAAATTTTTATTTTTATCGGACAGTTGAAATTTTTTTATAATGCATTATATGATTCGTACCTGCAAAAGTAACGTTTTAATCCTTTACAAATTATGAAAGATAAAAATTAATATAATTTTTTGCCACCCCTAAATCATCATATATATGGGAAAAAAATCCATAATGTAAAATTCTATAAATTTGATTTTATTAAAAATTATTTTTCGAAAAACCTTATTTATTTACATTCTCCCTTTACCTTCCCTCTTTTGTTCCAAAAAAAATTATTTTTTAACAATAGTAATTTATTTTTATTAAAACTAAACATAATTTTTTTAATCACCCCATTGTCTTTTATTAAAAATTATTTTTAAAAATATTATTTATTTTTAAAAATATTATTTATTTTTCCTTCTAACTTTTTTTTAATAAAATTTTTTTACAATAGGTTTAGCCTCCCAAATTAAAAATATGTTTGATTACTTATAATGGCACAAATAAAATTATTTTTTATTTTTTTATTGTTATATATAAAGCCGACTAATCAAGCCGCTCAATTTAAAATGGCGACTCCAATTTGAGGTCAGAGTCGTAAAAACTCGACTATTCAACAACACTAAATCTGTATCCATTAAATATATTATAAATGTTTTATTTTACCATAAAATTCAATTTTAATTTTTCTAAAAAAATATCCCCGATACCTCAAGTCGAATAAATTATTTATATTTCAGTGTCGTGTGCCACCTTTTTTTGGATGGTGCTTTTTATACAATCACGAAACTCAAAATGGAAGAAAAAAATTCTCATAAACCAACGTTAATACCTCAATATAAGTAATAAAATTTATAATAATTATAATATATTTTATGATTATTTAATTAAATTTTTTCATATATATAATTTAAAGAACAAAATATTAGAAAACCTATATATACTACCAGTTATGAGAGAGGACCAAGTATCTGGAGGTCAGCCTACGCCAAGCTGTTGCTCTATATGTAAAGGGAGCCATTATGTTTCAAGATGTGAAGATCTGCCTCATATGCTCCCTGGAAGCTAACAATGTGATAAAAGCAAAAATGGAACCATTCTAGGGTCGTACTAAAGAAGATATGCTATATTATGCAAATTAAAAATTAATCTTTTTATTATATATACTACTGAAAAAGTCATCCAGCTAGTACATAATGTAATGACGCTAGCTTCTATATGACAGGATCTCATTGGATGCAAACAGCCCTAAGATTGCCCCACATTAGTAATTAAACCTGTTTAGTTATAATGGTAGGCTAGATTCCTACATGGGCTGTTTAAAGATAACCCGACCCAAGCCTCAGGCTATTGAAGATTTTTTTTTCATGGGATTGGATTGGGCTTAAGAGGGAGCCCAATTTGAGGCTCAAAATTGAATATTAGAAATATCCTCAATAATCATTTAGTTTCATTTATATCAATTATTCTTATTGTGATTCTATTGATATTGATATGCCTTTTTAATATATTATTATATACAAATTAAGTAAAATGTTATACTCAGTTTTGCATTGGGGTTTATTTTATTTAAGGTGGCAATGAGTGAATAAGTACAATTTTTAATTTTTTCTTAGATATTATAACATTTGAACTTAAATTACAAAAAAAATGTAGTCAAGCTCAGGTTGGGCTAGATCAAAAAATTTGTGCTCAGGCTAGTGCCCTTGAACTAGGGAACCGATACCCCTTTTTGGAAGCCAATCCGATGTTCCAGATATTAAATTAATATCGGCCAATAACCGATCCGATATCATATCTAATTTTGTATTCTGTAAAAATACCGGTTTTAATTTTTAATATACTTTTTATTAGTACAACATCTATAATTTTTCTATACCATAACATATGTCATTTAAATATATTATAATGATCAGTTATAGTTTATATTCAATTCAATTGCTATTATTTATATAATAAGTAATAACATTAATCTATTTACATAATTAGTAATAAACAAATATATTATGAAATTTGAAATTAATATTTAAAATTAATGTATCGAAGATTTCTTTTTAAAAATACCAAAATTTCCAATTTATCAGAGATCGGTCTACAGTGATGGGGACTGTTAATATCACTATAATCACTAAAAACAGATTCTGAAGAGATTAATGAACACTTTTTTAAACAGAATGCGAAAAAAATAACTATATTGCAGAATGTTTATTAACTAATTATTACTATTAAAAAAATTAAACATAAAAATATATTTCGATTTTATTTATAAAAATAAATGGTTTTTTAGATATAACTTTTTTTAAATTTTGTTAAAAGCGCCATTTTATATCGGATCGGAAAAATATCGGTACATCCCTACTGAACACAAAAAAATTTTAATTTTGGGGTTGGGTTGGGCTTGGGCCACAAAAAAATCACTTTATAAAGCTCTAATTAAGGCTCCAAATTGTACCTAATTTTTCAGGTCCAACCCAATCTGAGAAAATTTTTATTTTTGTAACCTCATAGATCCAAATCTGATCCAATCCAAAATTTTATTTAAGAAAATAGCAAGTCCAATTTGATCTTAACTTTTTATGGTAATATTTAAACATTGATCTAAATTTTTTATGGTAATATTTAAACAAAATCATAAAAATCATAAATGGTGAAATAATAAGCTAATTTTTGTTTAGTTTAATATTCATAAAAATGTTAGGAAAATAAAATAATTCAAATATTTTTGTTAAGGTTCAAATCTAGTCAAATCCAAGATAAATCAAATCCAAACAATCTGAGTTTAGTTGAATTGTATTCAGATCTTAATTTTTATTACCACAGATACAATAAAATAACTAAAATTATTTGATACAATACAATATTATACATAATTATTTCTTGATTTTTAGAAAATGGTTAATAAAAATATCATTTATAAGTAAAATAAATTGTTATTAGTACTATAAAATTCTATCTTAAAATTATATTTGCCAAAGTTTTAAATACTTTTTCCCAAAATAGGTATATAGTATTTAGTGAAAAATTGCTTGCAAAATTAATAAATATACATTTATTTATAAATTTAAAGCAATTACCTCCTTTAGATTTAACATTGGAAATTCTTTTAAAATCCATTTAAAATTTAATTTTAACAATCAATTTGTTAAAAGTGTAAAAAATATTAATATAGGTTAAAAAAATAAGCATACTTTTATCAACCTGAATATTTCAAATAAAAATTGTATTTTGGCTTATTATATCATTTTAAAAATTTTATATAAAAAATATGTTTATTCTAAACCTGTCGCGATAATAGATACTAGTCATCTGTCATCTTTAGATGACTTTTGACATGACGCAATGATAAATATAATAAAATACAGTTAAAGCATGATATAAATTTTAATGAGAATGTTGCAGCACTAGCAGGACCTAAGTAGATTAGAGTCAGGCCACCCTTAAAAAATCTCGTTCCAAAAAAAATTTCCCCTCAATGCAAAAAAAAAGATAATATTTATTTTTGCATACACGTGGATATAAATTATTTATGAGTGAAATTAAATTGTATGTATAGTGATCAGCTACCAAACAAGGGGATACACAGACAAGAATAATAATCCACATTATTTGGTTTTGGAGATGGAGGAAAATTCGAGAATGATGGCCGACAATTAAGAAATGGGATGAGGATATTTATATTTGATGTTTATGATTGTATTATGTCATGTTATTATCGGATTAATTATGATTAATTTAATTTGTATAATATAAATGGTTTATTTGATTGCAATAAAGAATTACATGAAGTTCAAGTTTATATGCTACAGATGTATTGTGTTTCTCATCTTCTACAATACTTTCATTATATTATTCTGTCCCTCATTGTCATCAGGTATTCACCAATCCTGTTTTACACTTGTTAAAGTATGGCTGATGATATTGTTTCTACCAGGTTTGGTTAGCAATCACGTTTTACATTACTACAGGCAGCGTCTGAGTTGTAGGGGTGGGGGGGGGGGGTGTAGAAACAGTATGCAACTAGGCGATTTTAATGGGGATAGAATAAATTTGGAGGATTATATCTATTAAATTTTGAGATGAAAAGGACAAAATATATTGTTGTAAAAATTAATATTTTTAATATAGACCTTTCACAATTGCTGATCACCAAATCAATATATTGCAAACAATCAGTTATTTCCCAAATAAAATTTTGTGCTATCCTTTTATATGTAATTTAAAAGGTTTAGATATTCTCAGTAAGCTCATAATGCTATAATAATCCAATCATTGTAAATGAGGGGGTATTTAATTGAATTCATTATCTAAAAAATAACACCTTTATTTTCATAAAATTTTGATAGTTGGTAGTAGAGATAAAATAAAATAATTTAAGTTATTCTTTTTAAAATTTATAAGAGGAATATCAATATAATTATAAAGGTGTAATTAATAATATGGGGGGGGTGGGGGGGGGGTAGGCATAGGTTTTTGAGGTGGTTTGCACCAAGTGAAAATCCTGTCATGTAGGCGTTGATTACAGATAGTGATATTTTACATAACGTAACTCTACTATTTCTATCAATTTAAAAATTTAACGAAGAGCTCTTTTTACATTTTTTGAGTAACGTAAAATTTGTTTTCTGTTAGTACTAAATATTAATTCTGTGATTGAAAAATGTAATGCTTTGTAGAATTCTGTAAGAAGGCCCTAGTCCAAGGAAATCCTTAAAAATTATTTAGGATTACATTTATTAACCTCATGCCATACTAGATGGAAAGGTTTGTATGACGCCTTCTTGATTTTCAAAAAATATAATCTCAAAAGCCAGGGGTGGGGTGGGGGGGAGGGGGGTCGTGGTAATATTTTTTTACATAAAAATTTTAAATTGTCATATAAAATTTATTATAACAAATATTTACAAAATGAGAGTTTCACACACAAAAATAAAATATTGGAAAATACAAAATATTTATGAGTAAATATAATATATTAAAGAATATTAAAGCTACATACCTCAGTATCGATTTTCTGATGCATTATTTCTGATATAGGTTTTATTCTCCATAATGAAAAAAATGGACTCATATTTATAGTTATTTGTTGTCAAAATATACAAAAATTTTAATAGATTTGGGAAAAATTAGAAAATATATTTTAAAATATGCATTACTTTTTCTTGGAGGATTATTTATTAATATCAATATTTCATACCAACATTAAATTCTGAAATTAATTAGCTAATTCATTTATATATCCGGAATAAAATTGAGTGAAATATTTAATTGCAATATCAAGATTAAATATGTCCTAGGGCGGATTTCTAGGTAATAGTATTTTTAAATTGGGCAAAGCCATTTGATGAATCACAAATCGTTTTTTGATTTGAGTCAAAAATGTATTCAAAAGTGGAATAAAAATTGTTATTCTATAGTAATCCTAGGTTGAGTCTACAGTTTATTAGAAATATTGTTGTCTAGGTGCAAGTCGAAAATTGCCAATCTGAAAATCATATAATCTGATTTTCGCTTAATATTCATATAAATTTTGTGAAATTATTGATCGATATTATTTTTGAGTTTTCTAAGTAGTGATTTAATAATATTCGTGTAACCTCAGTTACGAAAAATATTGCATTAATCGGTTTTATAATTAAATAATTTATTAATAGATTAGATAGTAGAGGGAGGTGAATGCAGACTATGGAATTACGTCTGACACTATGGATCACGGTAAATTAGGGCGTGAATGTGAATAAATTTTAAATTATCGGGCGCTAACAGAATTTTCAAAATTTTTTACTGGCTTGAACATAAAATTTCATGATTATAATATATATTTTCTAATTTAATTCAATTCTTTTATAAAAAGAGTAATATTTGAAAACAAAATAAATTACGCATTATAATAATAACATATTTTCCTATCTTATAAAATATTGACTGAAAAATAATTTAAACTCTCTCAACTCCCGTTCAGCAATGAAAATTTGCTAATAAATTTAATATGTTTTATTTTTATTTACCTTTTCTATATATTTCTGGATATTTTGCTCACAGGTGGCAAAAGAGGTTATACCTCTATATGGCAAATCTCGAGGCTTCCCTAATTTTATTTCGGCTAAAATTTAATCTAGCCGTTTTTTAAAATCGACCCAAATGGTATCGTTTAATAGCGCTACTATACACTAATTATTTCCACTCAAATTATAATCAGTCAAAATTAAAGTAATAAAACATCTTATTAACTTATTTTTTATTCCTATATTTACCTACAAATCTAAAAGATAATTGATGCAATTATTATATTTAAAATGTAATGAAACTGCATTCAAAGATAATGAACGGATACCATGTTAACAAAATTGTTGAATAATATAAATTATTATATGTTATTCATATTCTATCTTTATTTTAGTTTTATAAATCGTAACTGTGTTATTAATATTATGTCTTTATTTTAGTCGTAACGTATATTATTCATATTATACCTTTATTTTAGTTTTACTTTAAGATAATATTTTCATTTTAGTTTTACTTTAAGTTAACCTTTTTATATTTATTAAAATATTATTTTTGTAAAAAGATATATATATATGTTATAAAAAAAGAAATAAAATAGATAAAAATATAATAGTTTTAATTTTCTTCATGTTGCCTCGGTTGAGGAAAGGTAAAAAATACTCGCCACTCTGTAATGCATTTTTTAAATTTTTTTTATAAAAAATTTTTCTCTTCCATATTTTTTTATGGTGAGATGTTATATGTAGTAACATTAAAGAAAATAAAAAATAAAATCCTAAATAAGGAAGGCAATTTAAGGTAAAAATAATTTTTACAATGTTTTCTTTCAAATTGATAAATATACCATACGAAGTGTCAATTTATGACATCCTTTGGGAATTTACTTACGATTGTGACATCCAATATTCAAGAGAACCTATTAGTGGTGATATCTTTTTGAATTATTTAGTCTCAAAGAGATGCATTGCTAGTTTGAACAACTAGACGGAAAATATTTTGCTTATAATGATTTGGAGTTTATACAACTCCGATGTATATTTATAAAAATATAACGTGTCAATATTATTTTCAAATGCTTATAAGATATGTTATAAAAATTATCAATAAATGGACACTAAACCTGATTTCATATTTTATAAATTTCCAAAACTTATTGGACCACTCACTGAGATTTACTTAGGTATGGTGTTAAGTTATTTTTCGACCAGCACATTACCGGACTCCGTTAAAATAAACACTTTACTTAATAATTTATCTGATGATGTGTTTGATAATATTAAATCAATTTGCTCTGATACCGATATATTAGATCTTAAGATAGTGATTAAGAAATTAGGATACCTTTTACCTATACAAGATAAAAATATTTTAATTAATAAATTCAATTTATCACATCAGAATTCGAGTGAGAATTTCATGCAATGGTACATAAGAGTATCAAAGTTGCATAAAAAATGTAATTTATAAGACGACAACAGGTTAAAAGAAAAATTACGTACGTCTATCTTAAATGACAAAATAATATATAAATTTTGTAAAAATATTAATTTAACTTTAAACGCAATGGTGGAGTTAGAAAGTAGATTAGATAGTATTAATGATAAACCAGATATTGACAATATAAGTTATATGAATCACGATAAAAAGTCTGATAAAGATAAAAACTTTAACAATAGAATAGAAATGACAATAATAATTATTTTAGACCTGATAATAATTTTAGAAATAATTTTAGAAATAATTATGATAATAGAGATAATAATAGGAATAAAAATAGGAATTCGGCAATAACAATAATTTTAGATACTATGATAGGAATTACGGTAATAATAATTCTAGATACAAGATAATTATAATAAGTATAAATACAACAACCTACAACAACCTACAACAATAATAATCAATCTAATTATGGTAGAAATAATAAATGGCATGATAATAATCAAAGAGAACAGATCCAATACGGTGACGGAAATCGTAACAATTACCAATCTTATAGCAACAATTCAAATAATTTTAGAGGTAGCGACAACAGTCAGAGAAAGCAAATACAATATAACAACAATTCAAATAAATATAGTGGTAGCGACAACAATAATAGAAAGCAAATACAATACAACAACAATGATTACAATATGAATATTGAATAAATTATTGAAGAGAAAGTCTACTCTACAAAAAACAAAGATGATAACAATTTTAATGTTAACAACTTATCTTGGGACATACTTAATGATAAAGATAATGCATTTATGACTACTTTAAAAATGAAT